GAGCAGATCGATGTTCAGAGCTTGTGGAAGATGAGGAAGCAGAGGGAGCCTCTTAAGGACTCGCCAAAGAGTGCGACGTTTGCAGAATCATCGACTGCAGGCGCTTCACGGGAGCGGTCAGCTGCTACATCTTCAAGGGCCGCAACGCCAGCAACACCGGCAACGCCAACAAACGCATCGGACTCAGAGATCGTGCCTTCAAACGACTTGTTCGTCTCAGACGATCCAGACGACAAGTATCCCATTGCAAAATCCCTCCCAGCATGGTACACCTCCATCACCATCAAAGACCCGCGCATGGAAGCCATGACCAAAAAACGTCCCCTCGCCCTCGTAACCCTCCAAGCCCTCAAAGCGGCCTTGACAGATTGTGAGAAGCCAGGAAAATCCCAGATCGAACTCGAAGCCCTCTACGACAAGATCCGCGATTTCATTCACAAAGCCGAAATCGACCTTCAGGTCAACACCGTTCTCCTCCGCAAAGCCATGACCCTAAGCCCGGACTACGGTCTCCCCCGCATCTTCAAACCAGGCACGAAGTTCCCGTGGGATCTCAAGGCGGATGCGTATCAGCTTTACAAGCGCTGGTATAAGGGCGATTTGAATCAAGATATACTGCGCGGTATCGCGCCGCATAAAGGGGATAACAGGACGAGTGATCGCCTGGATGAAACGTACCGTGCTCTGTTTCCTACGACCGCGAAATATTACGGCGAGGGCGAGTTGGTGCTGGGGCAATGGTGGCCAACGCAACTTTGCACAGTGCGCGACGGGGCACATGGATCAGCCCAAGGCGGTATCTACGGTGAGCGCGACAAAGGCGCCTACTCCATCGTGCTCTCCGGCGGAAACCCATACCACGACGTCGACAACGGGGATACCATCGAATACTCCGGCACCGAAGGCCGCAATGGCACGCCTACGGAGAACACCGCTCACCTGATCAAATCGGCCGAGTTACTCAACCCCATCCGCGTCATTCGCTCTGCGCAGCTGAACAAAAAGAATCCGTACCGCCCGGAACTGGGGCTGAGGTACGATGGGCTTTATGTGGTTAGGGGGTATACGTGCACGGATAGGGAGAAGGCGATGTATCGGTTTCGGCTCGAGAGGTGTGAGGGGCAGGAGGGGATTCGCTGGCAGGGCAAGGCGAAGAGGCCCACGGAGTATGAGTGTAGGGAGTTTAGAAGGTTGAAGGATAAGGGTGTCGGGGTTGGTTGGTAGGCGGAGACGGGGGTGGAGGTGGGGATGGGGATGGAATTGGGAGGTTGTGGCGTCATGTCTTGTCGTGTTGTCACACCTTGATGGCGGGAGATGGGTTGTTCTGGAGTGTGTTTCACGGTTCTACCGTTCTTGGGGCAGATGCAAAACTTGTTCGGGTTGATGTCAGGTATGGCGACGGTGGTGGTGATGGCGGATATACCGTTCCCTTTCTTTCCTTTGTCTTCACTCCAGGCGTTTCTCAGGATACCCGTTGTTCACTCATCAAAATTGCAGAAGAGCAAACTGGTCAGTCGACGACAGATACGTCTGTTGCACAACGACAGCACATGTAGTTTCCTTGGGGTGTATATAAAAATAGGAAGTGGTTTTGTAACAAAGTCTAGTCTGTAATCGCGCATATGTAGCGACGCTACGCAACGATCAAAATTGAGAGATCAAGACTGTCTCGGGCTGTTAGGATGTGTGTCTTTCCCGTACGAACAATCTCTTTTTCTGAAAAACACATCATCATTCACAAACTCATCTCTATATACCCGGGTATGTCTACTGCAAAGCCCAAAAAAAACGCTATGCCAAACGCCATCCCTTCATTCACAATCCCAATCACGAACACATCCACCACCCCCTCAAGCCTTCCCCTCAACAACCTGCCCCAGCGCCTCCCCCTCAACCACCGCATCCCCAGGCCCCTTCCCAGCACTCCCCACCTTCTCCAACGGGCTCATAACCTTCTCCTCCCCCCTCTCCTCCTCCCCATCCACACTGATATTAACCCAACCCCTCACACTATCCTTCGTCCTACTCAAAATCGTAGTATCATTAACCAAATTCCAGCTCTTCGCCGGCGGCCCAGCCTCATCCTCCAATTCCAAATCCGCCGCACTCGTATTCGCAACTCTAGCCCCATTCTCCCTCAGCATCTGCAATATCGCGCGTGTGTTGAGCCTGAGTACGCGTTCAGGTTCCTTTGCGCCGAAAACCTTGGTTGTGACCCAGGGGAACAGGACGCCGAAATCGGATTGGGAGAGGTGCGCTGAGGCGATGGGGTAGAAGATGTGGGGGCCTGGTTGGTTTGTGTGTTTCGACTGTGAAGAAGAGGGAGGAGATAAGATTGATTTCGTTTCGCGGAAGTTGGACGACCAGTTGTAGAAGCCTTCGGAGGCGATGGCTAGCAGGTTTTTGCCGCCAGAGGGGGCATCGTAGCATGGCATGGGTTTGGAGCGGAGCCAGCTTGTGGCGGGGCTTTGGATGGGGAGGGTCCAGAGGTCGAGGAGGGTGACGGAGTTGCGGGGTGTGATTTGTTGGACTAGGGTTGAGTCTGAGGAGGGGGTGTAGAGGGGTTTGTAGCCTGAAATAGCTGTTTGTGGGCGGTGGTAGACGGATTTTACGAATTGCACCATTGTGCATGCGCCGAAGGAGTGGCCGGCGTAGCTGATGGAGCCGGGCTCGTGGATGTTGAGGATGTTGGAGAACATGTTGAGTAGGTTCTTTCCCTTGGGTTGGTCTTGCGCTACGTTCTTGAGTTTACGTCCTTCGTCGATTTTCAAGACTGCATCGTGCATCATGCCCAACTCCCATAGCCGTATCTTCAGTTGCTCGTCTCGTGCCTCGTATACTTCTGTGCTCGCCTTGTGCGCAATGGATCGGTAGTCGACGCGCTTCGTCTTCTGCTTCTCTTCGGGTGTGTGGTGGATGGCGAGAGGCGAACTGCCATCGCGATGGTCTGCTGCTACCACTACGATTCCGTGACTTGCGAGTGAGCCGCAGATGTGCGAGTATGCGTTCCGTGTGCCCCCCAGTCCGTGAGAAAACATCATGACGGGCCATCGATCGGACTTCGGCGGGGGAGCGAGGAGTTCGGCGTTTTGGTGTACAGGCATAGAAATGTAATACAGTAGTTGTGGCATCAATCTAGACAACAGTCAGTATCATGCTCATCCCAAATCGCATCTCACGGTACTTACGAGAAAACACTCGCAAACGCGCTGTTCGCCCCCAGAAACCTCGCATAAGCACTAATGTATTCCCTCTGCGGACTCGGTATCCACCTCACAGCCTTCTCGTTGCTGTCTTGATTACACGGGTAGAAGATGCGGAAAGCGACAGTTGGTAGATCCGCAGGAGGCGCATCCGCGCTCGGGCTGTCCAGGTCGCTCGTGGGTATCTCTACATCCACAGAGCCGACCTTGTACGGTCCCGTATGCGGCGGGAAGCCCGGCGTGGGATTCAATCGATGGAGCCACGACATATCGGCAATCGCAAGCGGGTTCGCTGTCCCGACCGGAAGTCGCGAGGGGAGAGCGCGGGTAAGAGATCTAAAAGCGCGTGAGAACGACAGTATGATTGTCAAAAAACGTAAATATTAATCTTCAAACGAGTCGTAAATCTAGTAAAGAAACGAATAGGCCGTAAGAATGGGGTGAAAGTAGTGGAGGAAGTCTAGATCAGAAACGGAGCCGCGCGCACGCCTATATCATGGAAATCTGAAGAATCATGCCAGTGACGCACAAAGCCCATGCTAACACGCTACTGCCAGGGCACTGGGGCGTCCACCCTCGGAAGGGCACGCGACCCCCGAGTGCTAGCCCGCCCGCCGGTGCCATCCGTGGCTGTGGCAAATGTAAATTTGCGACATGGAGATGCCGAGGTTTCGGACGCGTTACGGCGGATCCAGAAGTTTCCTCGACGCGTCAGCCAAGGTGGTATAGACAGGCTGTAGTAGCCTGTTCAGAGCCCAGGTGCTTTGGATTGATAGGTGCTGTCGGTATTCTGCTGGATCGAGTCCGGATGGGCGTGGGGAGTGGCTTGAAGCGTGATCGCGTGCGCATGCATTATCCTTTTCCATGATGACGACACGCCAGACGTTTAGATCCGCGCATGCGCGAGAAGATCGCGCTAGGCTTCGTGTCGCCGCATCTGGCCACACGACAAAACCAACCCTCTCGCCGCGGTACTCTACGGATCAACCATCTAAAGTTTTAGTTCGAACAACGCGTTGTTCAGTCTGGTACGGGATTCCGTTGACTTCCAAATCTGCACATTGAGCCCGTCCGACTATTGCCCCGAGGTAAGAACTAATCGATGCAGGTGGTGAGAAAAATGTCCCGATGTAATTCCGACGTCGTGGGTGAGCATGTGATCGGCGTGTAGCACGCGAGTAGCGCGCGATCGTGAGGTAGACTGGACGTGATGCTGCATCAGTGATGTGGGTTATTGACAACTCATCGAATGAAGAAATATATTGCATCTGGGTTGCGTCAGTTCACGATGTAGAGGATCTCAGCGGACGCGGAAGTCAAAGGCCCTTTTATGACGGTGGAATGTCGATGCAAGGCAAGACAACAAAATGCCGTCAGGTAGCCCATACGTAGCAATTGTAATGCAGGGTATACCCTGAAGCTATCACGAGGGGCATTTGCTGAGTGAAGTTTTACAAGTCAAAAGAGCTCGTTTGATCAGCCTTCGTCCAATAACTCTCCAATCTACATTACATCTTCAAGCAATCCATATATCCAGGGAAAAACACACACAAGAGCAGACCGCATGTACAAACTACACGATTCGAAAAACCATTCCAATCGCAACAGCAGTTTCAATAGAAGGGATGTAGAAGATCCTTCTAAGTGCATTACATCGTCAATCTATATATCCTCCAAAGAAAAAAAACACCGTGGGTATGCCGCATATACAAACTACACAATTCGAAATCCACACGCTACCACCTTCCTAAAGAAACATCCACACATTAGCCGTACTCCCATCTCCATTCCATTGCATCAACAACACCCCCCTCTCCTCCTCCCCCCACCCCCACCAAGTCTAAAAACATCCTCCCACTCCCCCAACGCACCACCAGCTTTCTTCCCCCCTCTCCTCCTCAACCTAACCCCCTCATCCCCAAACCCACTCCTCACACTCCCACCTCCATCATCCCAGCCCAAATCGCCGTATTGGATCCCACTGGCCGGATCATCAGGATCGATCTCTCCAAGTTCAATCTTTGTGAGAATCATGCGCGCCAACCGTGTAAACAGCTCTTCCACGTTCTCTCCGTTTAACGCGGAGACTTCGACAGCAACGGGGATACCGTTCTGGCCAGCCCAGCGAGAGGCGGTTTCGGCGGGGACTTCGCGGCCGTCAGGCGCAACGGTATAACTCGCGTGGAGATTGGCGTTGAGTGAGGGCGTGCGACTTGCTTGCGAGGAGGGCGTGGGTGGAGGGAGACCAGATTCCGAAGAGGGCGTGCTGGCATAACTGCTATATCCTCCTCCTCCCCCACCTCCACTATTCATGCCTATGGGCACACCCCCATCCTCAACATCCGCCTTATTCCCCGCCAGTATAATCGTGATATCCGGCCCCGCCAACGCCCTCGCATCATCCAGAAACGTCTTCAGCTGCTCGAAGCTGCGCCAGCTGCTCACGTCGTACACGAGGATAGCGCCTGCGGCGCCGCGGTAGTAGGACCGTGAGACAGAGCGGAAGCGCTCTGTGCCAGCTGTGTCCCATAACTGGAGTTTTATCCGTTTGCGCGACGAGGGGGACGAGGGCGAGCGTTGGCGGCGGTCGGCGATGTGCACGATTTTGGAGGAGAATTCTACGCCGATTGTTTGGCTGGAGAGGACGCGCCCTGTGGGTGAGAGGGAGGGTGTTAGTGGGGGGGTGTTCGATGGCGGTGGGGAGGGGAGAGGAGAGGAGATGGGGGTAAGATTTACATTCGGATTTTACGAAGCGGTGGAGGAGGCAGGATCTATAGGTGTATCTTGGTTATTCGGTGTTTTGGTACATGTCTTCGCTCTTATCGCGAACTTACTTGCCAGCGCCGCTGGGTCCCAACAGCACCACCTTGGCCAGGTAATCATACATACTCCCCAGCTCCTGCGTCTCACTCAGCAACAGTCCTGCCAAGCTCAAAAAGTGCCCATACCTACTTGTAACGGCGGCTCGCTGCTCCGCGTCGACGCATTCGACACGGCTCGGTTCCTGCCCATGGTTGAACGGCGGCAGCGGCCTCGTTTGACGCTTCTGGCGGCGGGCGGATGTAGGACGTGGGATTCGGTGCTATTCACGGTCGCATGTGTGTTCCGAGTAAGCTCCACGAAGCGAGCAAGGGCGAATAAGGCGGATTCTAGTGGGAAGGCGGTTGCGGTGTTGTGTTGTTCATCTTGGCCTTATCTTTGTGACGCCAATTGGTGGACCCTGGCCCGCCGCGCTTTCGCGACTTCGTCACGCGCACGGCAAGCTGCCGACCTTTGGCTGCTTCAGGTAAGTATCTGGGCTATCGCATCACGATTTCCTATATGTTTGCTAGCTTAACGAGTAATGTCATTGAGTTAACAGATTTGATCTTCACATGACATAAAGGTTGCTGTAGCATAGATCGGATTGGATTCATACCAGGCTTGAACAACAGTGTCGGGAGTCAAGAGCTATATACAGGGACTCCCAATTAGGAACAACGGAAATGCGACGACATACAGACAAGGAAAAGAACCAAGAAAAGGTGGTATCCTAAACGCTTCGCCAATACAAACAACATCTGCTCAAATACGCGTGAACGAGATTACTGCTGCTCCATATCCCTCAAAGGCATATAGCTTGTCTCCTCCTTGTTCCGCCTCCTCGCGGCCCACGCATCACTGACCCAGTCCTTGAGAGTGGAAAAGACGCCCTTATGGCCCATCTTCTCCATCTCCGCTTCCTTCTCATCGATCGGCGCACCAGGATCAAGAACGCTGACCTTCATCCAGCTAGGCCTGTGCCAGAACTTGAGATGCAGAGAGCTCATGACAACGCTGACGGATGAGCATGCCATTGCGGCACCAGCAGCCATGGGGTGTAACGAAAGACCCCATGGAAGAAAGAAACCCATTGCGAAAGGAAGACCGATAAAGTTGTACATGCACGCCCATGCCAGGTTAAGCTTGATGCGGAAGAAGATGGCGCGGCTGAGGACTAGCGAGGCTGGGATGGAGAGGAGATCGGTGTTGGTCATGAGGACGATAGAGGCAGCTTCCATGGCGACGTCTGTACCAGTAGAGAGAGCAATACCAATGTCGGCCGAGGCGAGCGCTGGGGAGTCGTTGATGCCGTCACCGACCATACCGATAACTTGGCCACGCGACTGGAGGTCTTCGATGATAGCTTTCTTGTCGGCGGGGGTAGACGAAGCGTGAACATCTGCGGGATCGATACCAACTGCAGCTGCGACGACAAGGGCGGAAGCAGAGGTATCACCAGTAACAATCGATGATGTTATGCCTAGACGAGAAAGGGCAAGGATTGCAGCGCGGGCAGATGGTTTGATGGTGTCGGACATGCTCAGTGTACCAGTGTAGGTGTTGCCGATGGCGGTATGAATCGTGGTGATACCAGCGGATCGGTTTTGGGGTCCACCTCGAGGTCTGGAATTGGCAGCGGGTGTGAGCGGCTCTTCTACGAAGTCGGGGACGTTAACGCCCTCGGAGGTGAGGAAAGCCGTGTTACCAATGAGGACCTTGTAACGGGTACGCTCTCGAGAGAGGGCTGCTTCGACCGTTGCGATGATACCCTTACCGGTGACAGCTTCAAAGTCTCCGACTGAGCCATCCAGGCTGCCATCGGGTCCGAGACGGAGATGCTCCTTGGCAGACAGAACGATAGCCTTAGCAATAGGATGCTCTGAGCCCATTTCCGCAAGTCCAATGAGAGTCCACCAAAGATTCTTCTTATCAGGGCTTGCCCAGCCTCCTTGAATGTCTGCCTGAGATACACTCATCTTGCCAACAGTGAGCGTGCCAGTCTTGTCGAAGACAACATGGTTAATCTTTGTGGCAGTCTCAAGAGCGGCACCACCTTTGACGAGAATGCCATTCTCAGCTCCAACACCAGTACCGACCATGACAGCGGTGGGTGTTGCAAGACCGAGCGCGCATGGGCAAGCAAAGACAATGACAGCGATGCAGAGCTTGAAGCAAACCATGAATTTGCCGCCACTAGCGTGATCAAGGAATACTTTGGGTGGGTAGGGTAGGACGTGGCTAAGAACCATCCATCCGACAAAGGTTGCGAGGCCGAGAGTGATGATGATTGGAACGAAATAACCAGCAGCAATGTCGGCAAGGCGTTGAATGGGAGCCCGACTCGTTTGGGCTTCCTGGACGAGGCGGACGATTTGACTGAGCTGAGTGTCGCGGCCGGCTCGGGTGACCATGAATTCCAGACGTCCGTTTCCATTGACAGTACCAGCCATGACCAGTGCGCCTTTCTTCTTGAGTATTGGCATAGCTTCACCAGTGACCATACTCTCGTTGAGATACGACTCTCCACGTGTGACAGTGCCATCAGCTGGAAGCTTGTCACCCGGACGAAGAATAACAACGTCGCCAACCTCGATGAGCTCGGTGGGGATGACCCTTTCTTCAGCAGCATTGCCATCAGTGGAGGTGCGTTCTGACTTCTCTTCAGCAACATCCCAACCTTCAGCCGCTTTAGCCGCAGCGATGGGATCTGCATAAATGGTGGTCATGGACGGAGCTAGCGACATGAGGCTGGAAAGGGCCTTGGACGTTTGACCCTTTGCACGGTTCTCAAGATAGCGACCTAAGCTGATGAAAGTGAACAGCATGGTGCTGGTTTCGAACAGTGTGGTCGGCTTGGTGTGTGGGGAGACCAAGAGTGAGACCAACATGGAGAAGACGCTGAAAAAGAAGGCGGCTGAGGTACCCAGTACTACCAGAACATCCATGGTGGGAGAGCCGTGGCTCAGAGACTTGTACGCAGAGATGTAGAAACGTTTTCCGATACCAAATTGGACAGGTATAGTAAGGACCAAGCAGATGACGTCGCCGAGATAGAGGCCAGGTATCAGACGAATACCGCCAAAGTTGAGGAATGGCAGGAACATGGGAATGAACATGCTGATTAAGAACACAGGAAGTGCGAACCAAGCCGAGAAGATGACGGATCTTCTCCACTCCTGGATTTCTTTAGTCTTTGCGAGGGACTCCAGTTGGGCATCGTTGTCTTCGGAGTCTGCGACTAATGCGTTGTATCCAGCTGCCTCCACGGCCTCGACGATTGCTCGAAGGCCAACGATTTGAGGCTCTCGCTGAATGGTGGCTCTTGACGACTTGAAATTGACAGTTGCTGAGGTGATGCCGGATCTTTTCCGTAGTAGTCCTTCGAGCTCTTGAGCAGCGCTAGCGTTGGGCAGTCCATAGATCTTGAGCTGTACGGGGATGTTGCTTGTTGACGACTGCTGTATGCTACCATCGACAGATGATAGGACCTGTGCGTCAAAGCCGCGGTCCTCAATAATCTCTGCTATCTGCTCTTCGGTGAGCTTGGAAGGGTCATGCACGATTACGGCACGGTTAGCGAGTAAGCTGATGTTGAACTGGTATACACCCTCAACGTCCTTGAACCCGCTCTCGATGGCTGATGTGCATGCGCCACAGGTCATGCCCTCAACAGCGACTGTTGTGGTCATCGTCCTCTGCTGCTTCCGGCTCCTGCTCTTCTTGGCTGCTGGTGTTGCGGCCACGGTATCCAGTACCTCCGCGTCGAAGCCAACGTCTTCTATGGTTTCAGCGAGCTTTTCTGGGGATATGATCGTAGGGTCGTGCTCGATGACTGCGCGCTCAGAGAGAAGCGATATGCTGAAGGACTTGATTCCAGCCACGTCCTTGAAAGCGCCTTCCACGGCAGATGTACACGCTCCGCATGTCATTCCGCCAACTGAAAGCGTTGTGGTCGAGGTGTTTCCGATCGCCTCCTCCTCTTCATCTTCAGAATCGCTCAGAAAGTGGTCATCTGCGCTGTGCGACATTGGTAAATCCGACGAGAGCACTTCTGCGTCGAACCCCCTGTCGTCGATAATCTCCCTAACCTCTTCCGCGGTGATGACCTCGGGGTCATGCTGGATGACAGCCCGCTCCATCACCAAACTTATTGACACATTTCCTACTCCCTTCACGCCCTGGAAGCCCGATTCAATCGCGGAGGTACACGCGCCGCATGTCATGCCCTCGACTTTGAGCGTCGTTGTCGCCATGTGCGCTGTCGCCGGAGGAGGAGCCATGATGGCTAGAAGCGCTTTTCGGTGCCGTTGACTTCAGACGGATCGCGAACTAGACTGCTGATGCTGAGCCAGATGCAGCATCCAACGGTCGAATGGGGCGAGGGCGGCTCGTACGAAGCGGGAGGATTGGGGCGAAGTCGAAAAGCGATCGCGCGACGGTATGGCGACAACGTGAGGTAAACGCGAGAGGATAGCGGACTCCGGAGTAAAAAGGAAGGCCAGCTTCCGGTAGTGCCAGATGGCGAAGTTATTAATATGGCGATTGATGAACGGAGTGCAGCAGCCACAATCAGACCCAGTGCTGATTCAAGCCCAGCGCCGCGGCACGTCGAAAGAAGGCTAGACCGGCTCCGCAGGTGGATGATAGGCCGTTATTGCTAGGGTGCCGCCACAAGCTGATCGTCAAGCTGTCAGAGTGCAAGCGCTGTGAGATGCAGGGCACACTCCAAGTCCGTAGGATGACAGGAGAAGGATTAAGAATAATTGTGATATCTAGGAGTTGGTGGTGTCTTTGACGCGGCACGGACACTAGACTATAGTGTTTCCTTCTTGGCATGTGAAACAGGAAGGAACATAAAACCCTTCCTGATCCTTAGATGAGACACGCGGAGCCTCAGGGCCTGTTACCGCTTTGACCGAACGAAACAAATTACCAGTGTCGTGGCAGTTTGCCTGGATTGAGGGTGCGCCGTGTCAGTCACCGAACACGACGTGGACCGGACTTGGTGTACTTCGTCTTACGAACTGCTTAGTTCACGCGCTATGATTGATAATGTGTGGCCACCGCCACCATATGATCTCGTGATTGCGGAGCAGGCGGTGTCGGGTACGAGTCAAGGCCTGTGTCGCTGACTGAGAGGTGATTCCTGGCACATTATTCCACGCTTCAACGCAAAGGGCAAAAAAGAAAAGTGTCTATTGAACTCCCCT